GAAAGAGAGAATGGGTTTCATTAGCCCCATAGATCTACTTTGAAAGATAGAACTTAAAATTTCACAATAGTCAAATTATATGTGGAGAAATATACCTATAAATAGCCTGTATAAACACAAACATACAAATACACAGTTATATACTAGAAGAGGAGAGAATCAATTAAACCTTACAGGACAAACTACAAGGGCTAATTTTAGATATTTTTTAGGAGGTGCAATGGGTTACAAGATTTTTAAAGTACATGTTTGTTATGGAGATTTGAGGTACTGGTATTGCATCTCTGTTTTACTGGTAACCACTGTTAGTGGGACATTGTAGCCATAACTATGCCCTGAGTTGGATGGAAGAGGTGTTTGAAATAGCTACTTTTAAGTAATAAAGAGGGCATTAGGCAGTTACTTAGAGTGTTTTACATGAACTAAAATAGCCAGTTCGTTATAATAAAAGCATTTGTAATTATAGTGGAAAGGGAAATAGCTTGAAAGGAAAAATGTTTTTTTCTGAATGTTCTACATGTTAAATTGTAAGTTCAGACAACATCTCAATACTCTTTTTCCTTAGACCTCCTCAGTACAAGACCATTACTTTGGATAGAGGACCAGATGGCCTAGGTTTTAGTATTGTGGGTGGTTATGGCAGTCCCCATGGAGACTTACCCATTTATGTGAAGACAGTGTTTGCAAAGGTAAGTGTAAATTTGTTCAGTCAATACAAATATTATTTAGTTCATAGCAGCTACTATTTTAAAACATGGCCTGAGTTTGAAGCGAAAGGATTGTTAAGAGTTTCTCACAGCTTTTCTTCCTTAATGCCAGTGCTGGTCAAAACGTGCTTGCAGCATTTGAAGGCTGTGGTCTTAGGAAGATTCAGAATTTCCAAATGCATGTGACTCCGCATGTAGAATCATAGAACAGTTTGGATTGGAAGGGACATTTAAAGGCCATCTAGTCCAAAACCCCCTGCAAGGAGCAGGGACATCTTCAATTACATCACGTTGCTCAGAGAACCCATCCAACCTGACCTTGAAGGTTTCCAGGACGGGGCATCTACCACCTCTCAGGGCAACGTGTGCCAGTGTTTCACCACCCCCATTGTGAAAAATTTCTTCCTTATGTCTAGTCTAAGTCTACAGACTTTTGGTTTAAAATAATTATCCCTTGTCCTATCGCTACAGGCCCATCTTTCTTCCAAGCCCCGTTTAAGTACTGGAAGGCTGCAATAAGGTCTCCCTGGAGCCTTTTCTTGTCCAGGCTGAACAGCCATAACTCTCTCAGCCTGTTCTCATAGGAGAAGTGTTTCATCCCTCTGATCTTTTTGTCGTTCTCCTCTGGATCCTCTCCAACAAGTCCATGTCTTTCCTGTGCAGAATCTTCTTCAACTCTCAAAACTGGAATTGTGCACATACTTAGCAAAACAGACCGCTTGCCTTACCTTTAGAGCATATTTTCTTCACATAGTAGTAGGGACTTTTTTATTTATTTTGAGTGAGGATCTGAAAGCTAGACCAAGGTAAAATAATTGAACTCAGACTGGACCTTTGGAGAAGTTCAGGTACTGACCTGGTTTTGATAGCTTGGACTGCCCTAGAAAACATCCCAGAGTCCGAGAAAACGAAGTCAGGAATTCCAAACATTTATGGTATATCTACAGAGCTAGATTTTGATTACTGAATTTCTTACACCAGTTGCTGAAAACTTCATTAAGTCTTGAAAATCTTACTTCTGTGGTAGTAGAGTTTAAACATTATACTAGCTGGCCCAACAGGGTTAAGAGAATATAAAAATTCTATAGATCCAGTTTCTAGGTGTTGTGAAGCTTAAGGCACGGCATACTGCAGCACTAGCAGGCTGTACTACAATTGACTGTATTTGAATCATTGAAAATCAAAAAGGTTTTAAGGGATTTTGTGCACTGAACCCATCTTACTCACACCATAAGGACAGTGTGGCAGGGAGAAAACAAAATGCTTGAGTCTGCAGTTACATGTTGTGTCGTTTCAGGGTGCAGCAGCAGAAGATGGACGCCTGAAGAGGGGGGATCAAATCATTGCTGTGAATGGGCAGAGTTTAGAAGGGGTGACCCATGAGGAAGCAGTTGCTATTCTGAAAAGGACAAAAGGAACAGTCACTTTGACTGTTTTGTCGTGAACTGGCTGCCCAAAGGGGTAGGGTCAATAAGACTATGTTATTTACATTCCGTATAGCAAAGAGAATGGAAGTGTTTATATAGCCTTCTTGCTCTTCCAGCTTCACAGGACTGTGTTACAACACTGATGAAAAAAAAACCATTTAACCATATTTTTGTATGCAATAGAAGTATTTCTTTTACTGTTAAACTACTGGGATGGTGTTATGTAAACTATGGAAAGACAGTGATATTTTTCCTATTAGTGTTAAAATGATTGCTTGTAAGCTACCGGAAAAAAAAAAAGGAAAGGAATGTTTGCATTAATAACCACATAACAAAACTGGAATGTTTTGCTAAGAGGCTTTGGACATTTGAAATACGTTGGAAAAGTTATAAAGTCACCTGTCAACAAGGGGGTGTCATGGGCAGCAGTAGTCAGAAAACAGAAATAAGATTATTGAAGGGGAAAAAAACCCCAAACCCAAAATATGGAATTTTTTGAAAAAAAAGAGAAGTATGTAATCTGGAGGCAGATAATCAGTGGACTAAGATGGTTATTTGTGTTGTTTCACAGTGCCCAAGTAGAAGGAGCTGAGTGGGTGACTTCGGTGGATTTTTTTGCTTGTCCGTTTCTGTGTTTAAATTTCCTAAGTCACAGTGTATCAAAAAAAAAGAAAGCTGTGCTTTACTTTGGCTTAGGTTTGAGGGTTTGGGTCGTGGATTTTTTTTGACGCAGGGGCGTGTATGTGTTTGTTTTGAAAGGAGAGAGCTTGTGCTCAGGGCTGAAAAATCCCTTTGCTGGTGGAAACTTCTCTGGTGAATGAGACTGCCCAGCAACTGCAGCATTAGAAGAAGTAGAACTCTATAATAGTAGTGTTTTCCAGCCTATATAGGTGTGAAAGCAACCTTCCCAATAAGAAGTGTGTGTGTAAGCAAAGGTTGTCCTCTTCCAATGTGGAAGATTAACTACAGGCTCAGTGCAGACATTTCTGCGAGCTGCTTGAATCAGAGCTGCGAACAAACTCATCAGGGCAGGTTTACTTAGCTGCAGTGACTTGTTGATACTGGTTAAGCCAAGGTGGAAGAAGTTGATGTTATGGTGTTGCTGCCAGTATCAGTAGCAGCAAAGGTAAGAGTCCTCCTTGGATGGAGGAGGCCTAAAACCAGGAATTGAGGGTCGGTAATATGACAGTGAATTTGAACTCCACTCACAAATTTTTGAACTTCTATTTGAATGCTCACTTCACATCTGCCAAGGTGAGACGAAGCTGAGTCGATTCACAGCTCCCTGCATCTCGCCTCTGTGCTCCAAAACCAGTCTAGCTGGGCGATCCCATACAGGTAAAAGGCTGAAAATCCTTCATAGTGGAGGTTGAGTGAGCCCAGTGGAGACAACAGTGAAGGACTTCCTGCATCAGCATTAAGCAGAGGAGGAGATTTGAGAGCCACAAGTTGTTTTGGGGTTATTAATGATAGAGGCACAAATACGAGACAGTGTCTAGTAAGTACAGTGCCACCATGGAGCTGTTACTTGGGTAGGAGTGTGGTCAATAAATTTATCAACATTCTCAGTTTCCTAAGTTGGCGTCCTCACTAAAACGTCCAAAAACTGCGCTCACTGAAACCCTTAGCTGATTGTAGGCTGCCTGTGCCTCTGCTCCTTCAAACTGGCTCTTAGGAATCGGACAGATATAAAACATACTTTGCCCATGATTTACCTTCCTGCAGAAAAATGCGCCAAGTCTTTTGCGGGAGAAAGATACCTAGCTAATTAGCATGTTAATTAGCAGCAAGGCCCTTTGTGTTAATTAGCAAAAAAATTACAGCAAGAGGGCCACCATGTCAGTTGTCATTTAGGAAAAATCCGAACTGAAAATGCAGGCAATAGTCAGGCCATTATTAGGGCAAGATACAAAAGGCTAGGATTTGTTTTAGTGCGACACAAAACAGTATTAGGAATGTCTGTGAAATAGTAGTAACAAACTGATAGCTATGTCGAAATGATTTAACTAAAAAACCCACTCTCCTTGTCTCTCTAACTATTTTAGAAGTTACACTGTGGTAGGCTAAGGTGAAAGAAAACGGATGGTACTGTTACTATTCAATTATTATTGAATTGCTCTTCTATACTTATTCCTTGGTTAGAGTGAGAATGCCTCCACTAGACTATGTAAAGTCACTTTAAATAGTACCTATATTTGTAACAGAAGTAGTGTACAGATATTTTATTACTGCTGTTGTGACTAAATAGAGGTTTTAAGTGAATAAATTCCAAACTGTCATGATGAAATAAAGTTGCAGGTGTGTTTCTGGTTGCTTTACAGTGGCGTCTTGCATTGCTTGTTCTGTTGTGAAAGGTTAATTGAAAGCAATTTACATTATTTAAAAAAAAAAAGGCATTGCTTTTTATGTGAACCTTAAAGCATCTGCTAAAAATTACTTTATTTGGATTTTAAGATTTTATCTTTGCTTGCAAACTTCTAGCAAATCCATGAGACCAGGTACCAAAACTACCCAGGAATTAATGTGGAGCTGCCTTGCTTTTTTGAAACAGCCAGCGTTAATCATTGTTCGGTCTGTTTAAAAAACATTCCTTCAGACCTGGGACTTGCCATGAGGGGTCAAAACAGTGAGCCATGGAGCCTGGGACTCTGCATTTACCTGTGACCCATGCTGTTGTTCCAGAGCACAGGTTCTCCCCCTGAGCCCCAAGCTGGGAAAGCTGTTGCATGACCAGTGACCACATAGTGGCTGCCATGCACTGGACCATGACGTGCAGCAAACTTTGCAGGATGAGGATGTTTGGTTTTCTTCATAATTTGGTATTCAACACAACTTTCATGTCACAGGGATTAGTCCTGTAAGGTGCTACGTACTGTGGCCCCAGTTTTACCAAATCTTCCATTTTTGGTTACGTTTTTGCCACATGACTGTGTTAACTATGGGACTTGACAGGGTTGGAGCTGAAGGGCCTGGCATCTGAAAGACTCCAGCCCATTGTGTGTTCGGATGCCCAGTCCGTTCTTTTAACTCTGCTTACCTCTCACCTGTTCAATGCTAGTAGTCCTACAGTGGTATTAATGAAAAAGATTGTCACTTTGTGTAAGCGTGGGTCTGAACAAAGGACAGCTGGCTCACGGGAATGCACATACTTCATTTCTTAGCAGTGAGCAGGTATCATTGGCATGGCTGCTTTCCTCTTTATTCCTCTGATGGATTTTATTTCTGGGTTAGCTTTGTGGTATCGGTAATTCTCAGTTGGGAGAGTGGGTGGATTTAGTAGCCGTTGAGGATGTCCTTCCCTTCACCCTTTCCAGCCTCTTTTTAAGAAAAAAAGCAGCTGGATATTCTGTGGACCTAGACATGAACTTGCCTAAAAGAAATGCCAAACCTAAAAGAAGACAAAAGTTGTTGTCTTTGCTCTAAAGTGTCAAAAAGGTATTCTGTTACTGACAGACACTTGCAAATAATGTGGAGGAACTTAGTGGTTTTAATAGTGTTTTGCAAAAAAGCCGCCTCTCTGCAATGTGAGAGTGACATTGGAAAGAGGCTGGTAGTGGTTTCCCCCACACACCTTTTTCTTTCTTATTAAAAACAAATTCTTTGAAGCATCTGAAATGTTCATGTGTAGGGAGCACTTCTGTCTTAGGCACTACTTGAAACTACTAAGAATAGATAAAAATTTTCACTTCCTTTACAAATGCTATTAAAATTCTGAACACTGTTGTCCTTAGCATATGCAACACCTGCAGTGTATATGCAAGCTGTTTTTATTTCTCTCTGAATTGGAAATCATGCATCTTCCTGAACAGCTGTGTTGATCTTTATTTTAATGCATTTTAGTTCATAACTACTGTTGCAGAGTTACGTGTTAGCTTGTGAAGTTGTCCCACCGATATTCAGGAAAATGCTAACAGTGTTGGGTTAGACTGATCCATTTCAAACACTTGAAAACAATATATCTGCTAATGGAAGATGATGCATAAGTAGTTCAAGGTTCCTGACTTTTTGCCATATTGTTTTCATTCTCCTGTGGTAAAATCTTCCACGATATTACTGAACTTTCTACTCCCAGTGAAAATGGTCATGTGAAACGATCAGAAAAAAATAGGTGTTGCTTCTCTTACTTCAGTAGAAAGAAGAGGAGAATAATTTCTGATAAATTTCTAATCCTGAAAGCTGCATACATCTTGGTTGAAGATAACAGAACTACCCAAACTGGTTTATTCATTTTTAACTCAAGATTTATTGTTAAGTTGCAGCAGCAAATTGTTTTTAGAAAGTAAACTAAACAGGCTTTCACTTAGTACTTCCCGTCAAATTACTTTCTAGTCACTCCATTATTACTTTTTTTGATCTTCAGATAGGTAGGTGTGTTTTTTTATTGCATAAAGGGAGTGTTTGAATCACGTGCAATAAATCTTAGCTGTGTTCTTAGCTGAGAGTGCTACACTGGATATTTTAATTGCTTGCAGTTAGATGTCCAGTTTACCCACAGACAGGTAAGTGAAAGGTTTTTGTCTAATATGGGAGGCTTTGAATTTGTCAGCACTTGTTAATGTTTTCTGGTATTTCAGCCTTTGGCAGTTTTTTAGTTAAGATTACACTTTGTTAAGTGTAGTTCAGCTTAATTAAGAGTATGCTTAGACTGAGCAAGGTAAGTGTTATAGCTAAAAGGGATTGAATACTCTTCAAGAGTATTTCTGTGAGATGTGGGGTACCTTTTTGAGACTGTCAGCACTGGTCATCAACAGCATCACAGTTCGGTGTGTTGTCATAGCGTATTTTTATGCTCCTCACTGTTCATAGCCACAGATGAGTGCATGATACCAGGACTGGGAGGACTGAGACCAAATGGCACATTTTCAGGATGCTTCATCAGATTGCTGCTGCTGCACAGTAGAGAGATAAAGGAATCTGAGTTTCTTATTGGGTACCTCACACGAGCACTTAGGCTGAGGAACATTAAAAGCCATTTGCAGGCTGTAACTTTCAAGTACCTTCTCATCCCAGGGATACCATAGCCACCACATCCAACACTTCAGAATTTCACATTATTGGAGATTTTACAAAAAACAATGGGAGCAACATCTTGGTATTTGATAGGAAATGAATTATTTTCTGTTTTGGGAGAATCTTTGTCTGAAACTGTAAAAGACATACATTTTTTTTTTCCTTGGAAAAAATTACTCATTACTCGGTGTTAAATGTGAATATGTGTGATGGGAGTAGAAAGGTCAGTGTTGCTGACGAGTTACATAAATATCAATATAATCCTAATGGTTA